TCGGTCGGGGTCTCGCTCAATTGCTGAGTGTGGCTTCGAACTCGGCATCCTCCTGCCTCGGCCTCCCAAACTGCTAGGATCACGCAGTGCACCCTGTCAGCTGACCTGTTTTGAGCCCCAGTGCTCAGGCGGAAGGAGTGGTGACGTGTCCAGGCACAGATCGCCACCAGGTTCGACACCCAGGACTTCTTGGAGAGAAGAACCCACCTGCCCAGCACAGTGTCAGGCACCGTGGATAAATGGACCAATCACGTCGGGACAGTGGCCACCTGAACTTCTCAGAGGAGATCAGAGGCACGTGGTGGCGGGCGTGCTGCGGACACGGCAGCCCACGGGCGACCCACCCTCCCCCAGAACATGTAAAGGGAGGCACCTGGGACTGCGGTCAGTGGCACGCTGACCCGGCCTCTTATCAGACCATCCAGCAAGCGCGTCACAGAGTGACAGGCCACCAACTCCTGACTCTGTCCCCGGGGCTCCAGCCCAGCTCTATCTCCCTGACTGACGTGGCCCGTTTCGAAACCGCCTGCTGTCCAGCTTGGTGGCTTGTCACCCAGCTGACCACCTGCGGGGACCCTGTGTTTGTGGCCCTCCCTGCTCTCGGCAGTGCCCCCCACTGTGGCACGCGCTGGGGGATCCCAGGGCTTGCACCTGCTGGGCGATGCGCTCCCACTGAGCCACACCCCAGCCCTTGTTGTTTTAGGTAGGTTCTTGGTAGGTTGCTGAGGCTGGCCTTGAACCTGTGAGCCTCCTGCCTGGGCCTCCAAGTTGCAGAGACGATAGGTAGGTGTCTGTCTCCCCAGTTGAGAACTGCCTCCTTGGCCACGGTGAGCCCTTTCTTAGACTTTCTGTAACGTCTGTCTGTCTGTCTCACTGTGAAGCATGGCGTGGGACTTGGCGATATGGGTCTTGGTGATTAAGATTGAAGGATAAAGGAACCTGTGATGGCCCTGATCATGGCTGCCAGGTGAGCCAGGGGTACTCGGTGAATTATTGCTGATGAAAGTGGCACAGCGGGTGAGTTTCATTGTCATTCACAACTGAAATCACGGAAAGACACAGATACATCGGATCTAGCTGAGGGTGTGGCTCACTCAACACTGAGGTCATGAGAGAGCCCACGTGCCAGCCGAGCGCTGTGCATGACCCTGTAAGGTAGGTGTTACGTCATCTCCCATTTTATATATGAGGAAACTGAGAGACAGAGAGGTTAAGTATTTTGCCCAAGGCTGCACAGCCAGCAAGTGACTACTGGTGTTGAAACCCAAGCCTGTCCGTAGAGCTTAGTGCGCATCACTTCTTGCAAGATTTAATGTGCCCTTTCCATGGGGTAGTGGGGAGTCATAAAAGTCAGGCTTATTTTTTTCTGCTCTCTGTCCATCTACTTTGGCCTGGCAATTAGTAGGTGCTCAATAAGAATCTGAATAAATTTGCAAAAGTCCTGACAAGTTACTTCTCTCTGAGCCTGTATCCTCTTCAGTGCAATAGGCCCAGGGCAAGTACTGACCTCACTGGGCTGTTTGGACACAAAAATGAAAGAATGGGCTGTGGGGAGGCTGCTGTGGCTGAGAGGAAGAAGCTCAAGTCTGCCAGAGCTGGGTGCAAGTCTAAGAGGCCTACTTTCCTTTCCAGCTGTGTGGTCTCAGACCAGTGTCTCGCCCTCTCTGACCCTCTCTGTGAGGTAGGGTAGTTTGGATGCTGGGAATCTGAATTCCCCCAGGCTCCCATCTGGGGGGCAGCGACTAGCCCTGGTGCCTCCTTGCTCTGAATCTCAGGGGCACTGAAGGCTCTGGGGCTCTGGGCCGGCAGCACCCTGCAGGTCTGAGCTCCCACTGGGCTACCCCGTGCCTGCCCCAGGCCAGCGCTGCCACCCAGCTCTGCTGAGCGCCAGCCGGGGCTCCGAGGCCGTGCCACCTGCCTGAGCAGTGGAAAGAGCGCTGAGGCCAGGTCACAGGGGACACTGACCAGGATGCAGTCCCCCCACTCCGGCTCCGGCTCCGGCTCCCATTTCTCTCCCTGCCTGGCCTCTGGGCTCGGGGAGAGGCCCAGCAAGGCCTCCAGAGCAGGAGGGGCCGAGGACCCGGCTCCTCCCAGGCCCAGGTTGCAGAAGGGAAGCCGGAGGCCGGTGTCCTCCTGGCTGTGGGCACCCTCCCTGCCCCCCGCCCTCCCCCTGCCCTGCGGCTCCCTCCTTCTCCTCTCATGGTGGCCCCTCCTCCTTCAGGCCTCCCCCCAGCGCTGCTCCTGGGGGGCTCCGCGGGCCAGCCGCATCCTGTCCTGGCTCACCGCTGTTCGCCTCTGCTGGTGGGTTCTGTGTCCCCCACTGGGAGGTCAGCTCCAGAGGCCGTGTCCTTCTAATCCATGCCATCCCCTGACCTGGTGCAGGGCTCTGCCGGTCCCTGTCTGCTGAGCATGGGCCTGGCTAAATGCCTGGCACATAGTAGGTTTTCAGCAAAGACTGAAGCAGCATCTACTCCCTAGGGAGAGACCTGTTGGAGAAACAGGAAAAACACAAATGGGGTTTGAATCCTGCTTGCTGTGTGATTCTGGTCAAGTGTCCTGCCCTCTCTGTTTCTGAACCTCCACAGCCTCAGCTAGAACAGGGATCACCACAGCAGCTGCCTCCAGGATCGTTGGTGAGCAGGGAGTGGCCCACCCCAGCAGGTGCCGGTCTGCACACCCCCACCAGGCATCCAGCTCGCAGGTCCCCAGCTGGCCATGGGGAGGAGGCTGCTGGAGGGAGGCCGGCCAGCCCCGCCTGCTGCTGCTGTCCTTGCTGGGCCCAGCAGTGCACCTGTCCCAGGTCAGAGAGCACCCAGCGGGAGGAGGACACGGGCCTGTGGGGCGGGGCTTGTGGCCTGAGTGGCAGGTGCAGGCAGGTGCAGGCAGGTGGCCCTGGCACCCCGAGCAGGCCCTTGGGCAAAAGCCCCCACACGCCCCGAACCGGCCCGTCTGGTCGGACACCTGTGCGGGCAGCTCCCTGTCAGGGCTGTCCATGCAGGTGTGACTGGCAGGGTGGGGGCTGGAGGGGCAGTGGGGGCCTTGGGGACCCACCAAGGGGCCTGGGCAGGGGACCCGGTCCTGCTCCTGGGGGCTGACCCCTCTCCAGGCCGGAGGCTCCTGAGGCTGGAGTCAGGCGGGTGGCCCTGCGGGCTGGTCCCCACCAGAACTGGCCTTTCACGTTATTTATTGAGCGCCTTCTGTGTGCCAGAGGCCAGTGGGTGCTGGGGAGGGGTGAGCAGGTGACAGGGGTGCGGGACTCCAGGCAGGGAGGGGCGGCGGGGCAGGGTTGTCACAGGGGGTGGGGGTGGGGCTGCTGGACGGGCCAGGGAGGCGTCTCTGGGGAGGTGGCCAGAGCACCCGCCGGACCCTGGGGAGGGCGGGTGGATCGCGGCCACTTCGGGGCCAGGACCCGGGGGCCTGGGCTTTCATTTGCATTTGCTGGCGGTCACCAGAGGGCCCCAGGGCCTGTTCCCAGGGCAGAGGCCAAGGGTCAGGGCGTGGGCTGCAGGAAGTGGGCCCGGGCCTGCAGCGGCTCTCGGGGACAGCTAATATTCCAAGTGCCGGTGACGAGACCCAGCCGGGTGGCAGGGGGGCGGGGCCGCTCCACAAACAGCCCCGAAGCTGATCAAAGCGGCGGGTGCAGGGCCCCAGGCCAGCTCCCGGGACGCGGAGCCTCCCCAGGCCAGCGCAGGGCTCTGCGTGGCCGGGCAGGGTCCTGAGGCTCCAGGCCGGTGTCCCCACGCGTCTTGGGGGCGCTGAATGGACCCCAGGACCGCCCGCCCCGCCCACAGGGAGGCCAAGAGGCCGGCGCTCCACCTGGGACCGAGGCCTGGCGGCTCCGAGCCCAGTCTGGCCACCGTGAGGCCCCGGTGCCGACTCAGCTTCCTCCAAGTGCAAGCCTCTGTCCCCAGCTCCACGACGGGTTGATGGTGGCACCTAGGCCACAGGCCATGGCACTTCATCGTCGTGATTTATGATGATGGTACCAGGGACCGGACCGGGGCGTCCCCAGCCCTTTTATATTTTCTTTAGGGACGGGTCTCACTGAGCGGCCCAGGCCTCACTAAGTTGCTGAGGCTGGCTTTGAACTTGCCATCCTCCTGCCTCGGCCTCCCCAGGAGATGGGCTCACAGGCGTGCGCCGCGGCACCCTCCTGGCGAAGGCTGGTGGCTTGTCCATGCTCTCAGGGACATGAAGCTCACCAGGGGTCTGGGTGGAGGAGTGCGTCCCCACACCTGCCCAACTACAGCGTCAGGAGGGCAGGTCTGGGCAGGAAGCCCAAGGTGACCTCAGCCCAGGCCCCGGGGCCTCCCGGCCTCACCAGCTCTCTCTGAGCCTCGTTCCTCGGCTGCCGCTCGGGACAGGCCTCAGCTTGAGGGGGACGGGAGGGCCCAGGCTTCGCCCTGCCTCCCTCCCTCCAGCCTTGTCGGCCTGCCCCTCCAGTGGCCTCGTCCTGGGCCCCGTCCCCACCCCTGCTCGAGTCCACACTTGGCAGAGAAACTGGGTCAGACCCTCCTCTGCCTCTTCCCCAGCTTCTGTCCTACCCATAACGTCCAGTCCCCTGCCCCCGTGCCCTGCATGCCCAACCCACACGCAGACCCCGCAGGACCTGTACCCCCAGGTCCTGAGACACTAGGGCTCGAGGGTCTGTGGGGACGGCCTGAGGGGACCAGGTCTTGGGAGGCAGGCGCTGTGGCCTGCGGCACTTGTCCAGCGTCCCAGTCCCACAGGGGAGAAGGCAGCCGCTGAGGCTCCCAGGGCCAACACCTCTGCTCCGGTGCCGCGACGGCGGCAAAGGCAGGAAGCCAGGTGCCAGCAGGTGCTTGACGGAGGCGACTCGGGAGTCCTCAGTGGACCTCTGGGAAGGGACTCGCCCCCACTTTACGGATGAGGAGACTGAGTTTTGTGGTTTTGTACCAGGGATTGAGCCCAGGGGCGCCCAACACTGAGCCACACCCCAGCCCTTTTCATATTTTATTTAGAGACGGGGTGTCCCTAAGTTGCTGAGGCTGACATTCAACTTGTGATCCTCCCGCCTCAGCCTCCCAAGCCGCTGGGATTACAGGGGTGCTCCACGGTGGCAATAGCACCCCACTTCACTAGGCCGTGCTCTGGGTGTTGCTTTACCTGTGGGGCCTCCCGCCCCCCTGGGGTGCACCCAGAGCCTGCCTCCCTTTTCTGCCCAGGGAGCATCCTGCACCAACGCCCCCAAATGGAAGCCAGCTGCAGCTTGGCACCCCCAAAGGGACCTCAGAGGGATCTCCCTGGTGTCTGACTTTCCCCAAGTTTCTTCAGGGTCTGGGACTCATGCCTCCAGCATGCAAGTGGCAGGTGGCTTCCTTCCACTCACACTTGGGACTTCAGAGGTTCCCAGGGAAGGCCTGGGAGGCATCTGCCACACTGCTGTGTGACCTCAGGCAAGTCGCTGAGCTTCTCTGATCTTCCAGGCTCATCCACCTCCGTGGGGTTGTGGCTTGCTGAGACGACTCCGGCTGGGAAGGTGTGGGGACCAGGCCCAGAAGGCCGACACCTAGAGCACAGCTTCTTCGCCTGGAGGACCCTAAAGAGGGAACGGAGCCACAGCACCCACACTCCAGGCCCACCTCCCGCCACCCTGTCCCCACTTAGCGCTCTGCATGCCCCCAGGAGGTGGGGTCCAGTCCTGACCACCGTCTCCCTCTGCCACGTCCAGCTTGTCCTCCCTCACAGGAAGGAGACACTGACCAGGAGCCGCAGCTGCAGGTCCTGTGCAGGGTCCCACCACCTCCCTGCTCCTGCCAGAGGATCCCCAGGGCCACACAGAAGTGGCCCAGATCCCGGCTCTGCCTCCTTCACGGAGGGGAGTGAGGTGGGGAGACAGCCGCGTGGTCCTGAGCCCAGGAAGCTGGCGCCTTGCCAGAGGGCCCCGAGGTCACTCCGGACGCTCTGAGTGGGATGACCCTGGCTCCCGGGAGAGAGCATGCACCGTGGGCACTGTCCCCCAGGTGTGGGCACTGTCCCCCAGGTGCAAAAGAGGGAGCTAGGCTTCAGAGGGGCCCGGCCACTGCCCAAGGTCACACATCCAGAGGTGGCACAGCATCTCTGTCCTGGAGCCTGTGACTAGAAATGGGGAGAGCAAAGCCCAGAGAGGGCAAAGGCCTTGCCCAAGGTCACACAGCCCCACTGAGGCTGCGCGAGCTGGGAGCCCTGCAGTCCCAGCGCTTCCCACGGCCTGGTGGGGGTGGGGTCTGCCTGGCACTTCCTGTTGGTTGGGGCAGGACCTCCGTGAGGCCTGATGGGATAGACGCAGGGTCTTCCCACGGCCCAGGCCCCTCAGGAATGTCTGGGGCGCCGTGAGGGGCAGGGCCAGGAGCCCCAAGTCCTGGGTCCCAGGCCCACTGTCCGTTTGATTATCCTGGTGTCCCTGCTCCTGTTCCCACCCCAACCCAGGTCTCCACCTCCTCAGCTGGCCCTTCCTAGGGGGTCACCATTCACTGAACACACCCAGTGCCAGGCCCACGGGAGGGCTCAGGCCACGACCAAGATGGTCACCTCCCCACTCTGAGCCTCAGTCTCCTCCTCTGTCAATGGCTCACCACAGACCCGTTAAGAAGCTGCCTGCTCAGCACTGAAGCCACTGCCCCAAGGGCGGGGTCACCAGGGCCCGACACTGACCTCACCAGCTATCTTCCAGTCTCTGTGGTCTCTGCCACTTCCAAGGTGCGGTCAGCCACAAGGACAGTGTCCAGTACACTGAGTTCAAACTCAGCCCTGCACTGGATCTGTGACCCTGGGCAGATCCCTCGTCTCTCTGAGCCTCAGTTTTATTATCTGTAAAATGGGAAAAAACGAACTTGAGTCTGGGTGTGGTGGCACAGGCATGTGATCCTGGTGACGTACGCGGCAGGCTAAGGCAGGAGGACTGCAAGTTCGAGGCCAGCCTCAGCAACTCAAGGAGGCCCTGCCTCTAAATAAAATATAAAAAGGGCTGGGGAGTGGCTCAGAGGTTAGCTCCCCGCGTTTGATCCCTGGTGAAAGACCAAAGGGGAGGGGTGGGGATGAAGTTCCAATCCCCCGTGATCACACACACACACACACACACACACACACGTGCGCACACACGCACACCCAGACATGAAAAGAGAAGAGAACCCAACCTGACCACAGAACTTGATGAAGCGTCAGCGCCTGGCACCAGTCGCTCCTGGTGGGTCTTCTTCCCAGTGGGGACGTTGGGGTCGGCCACCTTGAGGCCTCTGGGGCAGGAGGAAGGCCCCTGGCTGGGAAGGCCCATAGTCCATTGGGGGTCGCTGGGAGAGCCAGGATCAGTGGCTGCCCTCAGCTCTGGACAAACCAGACCCAGCTCATCTCCACGCTGACCTGCCTGGCCTGGCCGCAGGCCTGTCCACTTTGCGCTCTGGGGCATCTGTTATCCAGCTACCCCAGGCCCCGCGTCTCCACTCCTCAGGCTCCATCCAGGCCTCACACCGCAGGACTCTCCCGGATCCCCTTCCTGAACAGGTGAGATCTGGGTGGGGGGCGGGGTGGGTGGTGCTGGATCAAACCCAGGGCCCCCTGCACGCTGGGCACGTGCTCTACGGTGGCGCCTCCTCCCCAGCCCTGCCGTGAGAATCTGAAACGGGACCTGGAACAGATGGTTCAGCACATATTCATTTGGTTTTTGGTCTAATGTGAGAGTCTCTGCTTTTAACAGACCCGTTTAACCCGCTCACGTTTATTGTTGCCTGGTGGCTGGCCTGGCGTCCTCTCTGGCTGGACCTGGTACCTGCAGGTTGCTGGGCGGGGCTGGGCTGGGCTTCTGCAAGCTGCCCTGGGCCACCCAGGGGGCTGAACATGGAGCTGACCCAGGCCCCTCGTCCATCCTCCTCCTCCTGCAGGGGACAGGCCTAAGCCGCCTGCTCTGGCGTCTGGTCAGCTGCTGCCTGCTCCCCATTAACTGGTGCTGTGGCCTCCAGCTGCGTCTCCGTCTCCGAGTCGGCCTTGCCTGCTCCCCTGGGGCTGTTGGAGGACACCGTGGAGCCTGGGCCTAGGCGTAGCACAGCGGCTGACAGCCTGAGCCTGCGAGTACCTCAGTTTCCTTCCGTTGTACGTGAGGCTCCGGGTCACTTCCTGCCAAGGCCCTCAGGGTCCCCTGACTCAGGGTCTGGAGCTGAGGAGTCTGGGCTGCCCCCGTCATCTCCTTCCCACCCCAGTCCCAGAGACGGTGGTTTCCAGGGATCCTGAGGACCCAGGGTAAGGGAGGGCCCTAGAGATGTCCTCTTGCCCACTGGGCAGGCCGGGCATCACTGTGCCCCTTGCAGATGAGGACACTGAGGCTCGCTGAGTTGGGGGCTCCTTGGATGCTTCCCTGAGCACCTGCTGCTTTGGGTGGCCTGGGGGAGCCGCGGTCCAGGGGAAGGGGTCGCCACAGGACGCACGGGCAGCCTGCCTGGAGCACCTTCCCCAGGGGACACAGCCAAGGCAGGGCGTTTCCACCCAGCCACCAGCTTCCAGGGGCGGGGTGACGCGTCCGGCCTTTGCCCAGCTGTGCCCTGCCAGGAAGGGGACGCTGTTCCTCCCAGGCTCTGGATCCGCCGGTAGGGGCCCGGCAAGGGCACAGCTCACTTCCTCAGGACCTTCCCGGCTGAAGGGCGAGGCCAGCCTGCACTTGCTCAGCACCAAGGGTTTCCTCTTTCACAGCGTGTTTCCTGCTCCCTGAAGGTCCCCATAGGTCCCCAGTCTGTGCCTGGTAACCCGTGCGTCCCCTGCTGCATAAAGGTGTGGGTGAGCCGCCCCCCTCCCCGCTCTTTGGAGGTGGCATGGGACCCTCCCCCGCCCCCTCTGCAGCTGCCCATCTGCACCTGCTCCCTGGGGTCGCGGCACCACTCGGCTCCAGGGGGTCAGGGACTTTGGCGCGTGGTAGGTGCTCAGTCACTACCTGGGAGGGAGGGCGGGGACGGGGTGGAAGAAGCCAGTGCAGTTCGCAGTTGCTCTGCTCAGCTCTGGTTGGCTCATCCTGCAGACATTTATTGAGCACCAACTGTGTACTAGTCCTGGGAGGGCCGTGACCAACACAGACAGGACCTGACTTTGTGGTCACTGAAGGGTCGAGGAGGGGCTGGCGGGCCGGAGGGAGCCTGGCTGTTGTCACCCTGGGCAGCCCCACTTGCCAAACGCCACCACAGCTGCGTCACTGAGATGGGTGGGCCGGAGACTGAGGGGTGCAGGGAGGGGCCTCACGCCCAGCTGGCTTCAGCATCAGGGTTGGCTGAAGGCTGGCCTGTGTCCACCGTTAGTCACTCTGTGTGATGTGGCTCTGCGGCCACTTGCTGTTGGGGACTATTATTTTCAACTTGCAGAAAGGTTCAGAAGGCAGCTGGAGCAGCCACGTCCCACCTCCAAGGGAGGATGTGGCGGACGTGCCCTCCCCCACGGGCAGCCCCTCCCTCTTCGAAAGGTGACCTCATCCCGAATCTGGTGTCATAGTGCTCCTTCCCGGGCTGCCTGCGTGTCCCTGGCCACACCAACACCGGGTGAGCCTCAGCTTCCCTTGGAGGGACAAGCTAGGGTCAGGGGCGTGTCTGCAGAAGGCCCTGGGAGCCTGGCAGGCACAGAGCTGCTCCTGAGTGTCCCTGTCATGTCCTGTTGACACCCAGGAAGGGACCCCCCAGGCCCCAGGCTGACCGGGGGGCCGTGTGGCCAAGCTGAGGCACGGCCTCCCTGTCAGCCTGACACCCGATAGATGCCCAGCTCCTTGTCACTGTCACTCCAGCCCTGGAGAGAGGAGGCTCTGTGCATCCGAGGCGGGCGCTCCGTTTCCTCACCTGTGTTATTCCTGCAGGTGATGGGAGTGAGAAGGGTCTGCGGCACACAGTAGGCGCTTTATAAGACCTTCTCTCTTCCTCTTCCCAGGGCCCTCCCTTCTGCTCAAGGTCCTCAGGGATGCGCTCATGCACATTCACCAACTGGCTCTGGGCACCAGCGCGCGCCAGGCTCTGCTCTAAGATCCAGGGACACAGGAGTGAGTGACAGGCAAGACCTCCATCCTCAGCGGGCTGGCATTCTGGGGAGGGGTGAAGACAGCCTGTGACAGGTACAGCCCAGTGGGATCCCAGTCTGCTTGCAGGGGAGGGGAGGGGCGGGTCCCCTTGTCCCTGAAGTACAGGTGGCTGGGGTGAGTCAGGGCAGGCCAGATTCCATTTAGCTTTTTTGGGGGGGGTATCAGGGATTGAACCCAGGGGCACTCGACCCCTGAGCCACATCCCAGCCCTATTTTGCGTTTTCTTTAGCGACAGAGTCTCACTGAGCTCCTTAGCGCCTCACTGCTGAGGCTGACTTTGAACTCGCGACCCTCCCGCCCCGTCCTCCGGAGCCCTGGGTTGACTGCGCCTGCTCCACTCAGCTTTTACCAGGTTTGCTCGGCTCCTGTGGGAACACACAGGAGAGGCCAGGCTGGACGTGGGGAGGCCCGCGGGACAGCGTCCAGTCCCCCAGCTGAGGAGGCTTAGAGAGCCGCCCGCTGACCTGCCCATGGGGCTTCCTGGAGATGGCAGCCAGGCAGGGCCACCTCCCGCGGAGGACAGAGGCCCGGCCCCGCCCAGGGCTGCCCAGGCCCTTCTGGGAATGGAACTCCCAGCACCGCAGGTGACATAGATGACACAGATGACGCGGCACCGGGGTCCCCAGCACGGGTCCTGCGAGCCCCGGAGGAGAGCCGCGCGCGGAGCCCCTCCCCGGCCTCCGGCCTCCCCTCCCAGCGGGCAGGGGGCCTCCCCTCGGAGCGGGCAGGAGCTCGCGGGGACTGGCTCGCTGCACGGGGTGTGGGTGGGGGGCTGCTGGGCGCAGGGGGCGCAGGGGCTGCAGCCACCCGCCCCAGCCTTGCGGTGGCGACTCTGGCTCCCGGGACCCGGGCCGGAAGTGACCCTGGGGGACAGGCGGGCGGGAGGGAGGCAGAAGGAACAACAGACCGAGCGCGGCCTGCGGCGGGGCCCCCGAGGCACTGGCGACACTGGAGGGGGCGTCCCGCGTCCCCTCTGCGCCCGTTATGCCCACGTGGCGGCCAGGGGCGTGGGGCTCGGTCCTGGGGCGTCCTGCGCCCTCCCTCGGCGGCTGCGCCGTCCTGACCTGCGTGTGGCCCAGCGCCTGCCAGGGGGGCGCCTCGGGGACCCCGGCGCGCGGTGTCCGCGACGAGGAGGCCACAGGCTCCCGCCCCGCGGCTAATCGCTTCCAGACCGCGGGTCAGGGCCGGGGCCGCCGCCGCCTGGCTCCATAAACAGCCCTCCTCCAGATGGCGGCTGGCTCCGGCCTGGCGAGCAGGTCCCGGGCTGGGGGCTGGGGCAGCAGGTGGAGGGACCGGCCGCAGCTGCCCCCAGCGCCTCCCAGGGAGGACCGCAGCAGGCGGCGGGGCTCACCCTGGGCTCAGAGAGGGAGACGGAGGCCTGAGAGGGAGGCAGGGGGGCCGGGAGCCCCGGTGGCATGGGATTGGCTCTGCTGAGGGGCTCCAGCCGACCCGGGACAGTGGGGACAGGCTAAGTCAAGCGCCAGGGGACTGGTACTGGGTCATGTTCTGGCCTCCACCTGGGCTTTTCTGCCTGAGTGGGGAGCTGCTCAGGGGCCTCGGTCTTTGCCTCCTTAAGGTGGGCACAGTGGCAGGGCAGACTGTGGCACTGCTGGGGGCCAGGACAGTTCCCCAGAGCTCCCACAGGTACTCAGTGGCCCTCTGTCTCTTCCTCTTCCCACCTGGCAGCACAGTGGCCCCTTCTAGGAGGCCACCCTGACTTCTAGCAGACCTCTCCTCTGTGCTTGGCATGGTGTCCCTCCAGTGGCCACCCCCAGTTCCCCCATGCTGGACAAACTGGTGCTTGATGGTACTGTGCCCTCCTGCAGATGAGGAAATGGAGGTCAGGGAGGTAACTGGACTCATCCCCCAGATGAGGATACCGAGGGCCAGGGAGACAGCGAGACGTGGTGAAAGATGCAGCCCAGCCTCAGGAGCTGCCCTGGCCTGGCCTGGCCTTGAGCCAGGAGACCGGCTGCTCCTGCTGCCACCCACAACTCTGGAGCCCCCCTCTTGCCTCAGGAAGAAGACAAGGACCTGAGCCTGCCGTCCCCCAGGCTGGCACTGGGGCCTGACCCCCTGCACACACACTGCCTGTCTCCAAACTGGGCCGAGTCCAAGGCCCCTGGACATCACCAGGGCCCTGAGCAGCAGCCTCATTCCAGGGGAGCGGCTGCGGGACCAGGTGGAGAGACTGCTCTCAGGTCCCCCGATGGTCCCTTCCTGCTCACTGAGGACAGGACGCTGCTCTGCAAGGCCTAGCCCCTGTTGTCATCACCTGCCCTAGTTCTGGGCACAGAGCCGCTGCACTAAGACCTCACAGGGAGTCCCTCTGCATGGGACGTGGCCACAGTGGGACCCCTAGGGGAGACTCTTCCCAGAAATTTGTAATGACAGCTTCTCTAATATCCATAACCATTTGAGCCGGAGAACATTATACTCTACTCTCTGCATTTTACAGATAAGGCTCAGAGAGGCTGAGTGATTTTTCCTCAGGTCACACAGTGGGAGCTGGGATTGGAACCCCGGCCTTCTAGTTACAGAGCACACATCCTTAACCGCCCATCTCCAGTGCGTCTGAAACTGCTGGGGTGTAGTAGGTGCTTTCCCAAGGTCCCCTTGGCCGCAGTCAGAGTCTGGATTCGGATTTCGGCCAGCCTCGAGGTCAGCGGCCAGCCGTTCTGCCTGTGCCCGGGAGGAATGTTGGTGGTGGCCTCGGCCGGGGTCCGAGAAGAAAGGCAGCCTTGTGGGCGAAAGGTGAGCCGCTGGGTGGGCGCAGGCGTGTTTACCCAGGGCCGGGCATGTGGCTCCGGGTGGCGCCGCTGTCAGCCGCCGGCTGCCTGGCCGTGCTGGCCTCCAGATGTGCGCTGGCTCCAGCCGGCCGCCCCCACCCCCAGCACAGAGGGGCTTTATCAAAAGCGGCTGTGAGGAGGCCCCAGGCCCCGGCTGCTGGCTCCCAGCCCTGGCCGCAGCCACCAGGCGAGCGCACGGCCTGCACCCGGTCCCCCACTCCACCAGGCCTGGGGACCAGTCGGGAGGCCAGGCCAGGAGCTGGGAGGCCAGGCCCAGGGCCAGGAGAGGGCGCATTGCAGGGAGACCCCTCTCCCACTTGCTCTCTACCCCTTGCCCCCGGGGCCAGCAGTGTGCCCCAAAACCCAGGAGTGTGCCCCAAAACCCAGGCCAGGGCTGTGCAGTGGGCAGGGCGCACGGTAGTTCCTCTGGGCACGGGGAGGCCACCGCCCACTGACCCGGTTGGCCCAGGCGTCTCTCCGGGACTTTCCTTCCCTCCTTGGCTTTTTTTTTTTTTGGGGGGGGGGGTACTTTTTATATCCTCTCTGTCGGCCTGAAGGGTTTCGTAATGATAAATAATTATCAGGGAAAAAGGAAACTCTCTCCCGTCCCAACCGCAGCCGGCTCCTGTTGACATGTTGGTACTTTTCTTTTTACAGATGGAATTGAGATAGGAACCAGGTGGGGTGTCACCCTCTGTCATCCCAGCTACTCCGGAGGCCAAGGCAGGAGGATCACACGTTCAAGGCCAGCCATCAGCAATTTAGGGAGACTCCATATCAAAATAAAAATTAAAAAGGCTGAGGACGTGGCTCAGTGGTAGAGCAACCCTGGGTTCAAAACCCTAGTACTGCAAAATGAATAAATAATTTAGAAATAATAATAAATAATTAAAATAAAATAAATGCACGCACACACTGCCCTGAACCTGCCTTTTCACAACATGCCCATCCCCGCCTCTGCAGCCTCACTCTTCTTTACAGCTGCGTTGTATTCCCCTGCGTGGATGCACGCGCTTGCTTTCCAGAAGGTTGCTGGTGGGTCTCTTGGTGGCGGCTACGGGCCACCTGATGGGCCTGTGATCCTGTCTTTGGGGACCCAGGCAATTATTTTCTGGACTCACTTTTCTCAGTGCTGGAATGGAGCCCAGGGTCTGGCGCAGGCGGGGCAGGCTCCCCGTGGCCACCCCAGCCCCGGGTTGATGACCACTCTGAGCGGCACAGGTGCCCGGCAGCCTCCTTTCTGGGAGCCATTGTATCTGCCCTCTCCAAGCCTGCCCGGGGTCCGCCCTGGCTCTGGGGCTGCCAAGGAGGCTGAGACGAGGGACAGAAGCTGGGGGGACAGCTGCCCGAGTCGCCCCCAAAGCCAGTGACACCTTCCTTGATTCTGTGTCTTTCTGGTGGAAAAAGAGAAAGATTCTCATGGAAGAAACTGTAGAGAATTACAAAGTCAGAACGCGAAGCCGTGAGCTGGGCACACAGCTCGGCTGGTCAGTCCCTGCCTGGCAGCACAAGGCCCTGGCTTCAGGCCCAGCACCACACAAAAAATAAAGCGCAGCCGCGCACACCCACCCGGCAGCGCGGGGGCTGGACGAAGATCAGAGTTTGGGCCTAGAATAAGCTGCTCTCCTGAGCCTGACTTGCTGGGACGTGCCTGGGCTTGCATTTGGGGGACCCGGGGGGCTCAGGCAATGGCAGGGGGGTGTGAGGGGCTCTGAGGGCTGGTCTGGCTGATGGGACCGGAACATGAGGTTCTGCAGACCCCTGTCCCACCCTCAGCCCCCCAAACCTATGTCCTCCCCCAGTGACTTCAGGCCTCTCTTCTGAAGCCTCCAGAGAGATGCTCTTGAGTGTCCACTCCCAGCACCCTCAGGGACATCCCAGAGCTGGGAAGTTGGAAGGGAAGTTCCCCACCCATCTGCCCTTAGTCCTTCTTGCTGTGGCTCTGGAAATCAGGAGGAAGCAGGATGCAGGGAAAGAGCCCCACTCCTGGCTCTGCTGAGTGACCGTCCCCTGCTGTTCCTCCATGTCCCCATCTGTAATTGGGGGATGGCCACTGGGCTCTACAGGAGCCACCGTGGAGAGTGAGGCCCTCACGGGTGGGCAGGACACCTGCCACAGTGGGCGTGGGCGTGCAGTAAGAGAAGTGCGGGCCTCCCAGGACACCCCAGGGAGGGCCTCGCCCAGGGAGGGCCTGGGGACTGGCCGCTGCTGGCCCACAGCCTGTCAGAGCCCTGCCCCCTGCCCACCCCCAGGGAGGACCCAGGCTTGGAGTCCAGAGGGCACGAGGCCGAGGTGTCGGCAGCCGGGACTCGGCTGCCTGGGTCCCTCTGGGGAACCCACCTCCGACAGGCGCCCCAGCAGGAGGCCGGTGGGTCAGAGGCGTCCGCCGCTGTAGCAGCCATCTGCACGCCAACGAGAGTGCGGGGGACCCCAACTTTCAGGAAGACAAGTGGTGAGAACTTGATGAACCCCCTTTTTAAAAACTGGTCAGTCAGTTCCAGTTGTCCACGAGACGGACCCCCTTCTACCTGCTGTGGGGGCAGAGGAGCCAGCAAGGACTCTGCCCTGAATCCAAAGGTCCCCCCTGCTCTGCCACGCGTCCTGTGAGGACAGTGGAGAGCTACGTGGGGGCGACGGGTCCAAGTCCCGCCTGGCTGAGGGGACTGACCGGAGCGTCGTCCGAGGTTCTGCAGAAGGAGCCCACGGTGGTGACTGGTGACCGTGGTGACCGCCCAACACGTCCCAGGCGGAGCAGCCCCTGGCTCAGAACTGGGCTAGAGGAAGAGACACAGACCTTGGGACACAGGTGGCATTTCATGATGTGCACCGTCCCATAAAAATAGCCAGAGCCAGGCGCGGTGGCCACACCGAAAATCCCTGCGACCTGAGAGGCTGAGGCAGGAGGATCGCAAGTTTGAGGCCAGCCGGGGCCACTTAATGAGACCCTGTGTCAACATTTTTTTAAAAACTTAAAAGGGCTGAGGGTGGGGCTCAGTGGCGGAGACCTGCCCCCGCCCCACACAGTAAGGCCACCGCAGCCTGTGGTCACAGGCACTGAGCAGCTGCCTTCCTGGCGGCTCTGGCCCGGGAGCCCTGGGGACCGAGGTGGCCGGGCCTGGCCGCGTGAGCCCCCCCAAGGTCCAGGCCTCCCTGAGCGACAGGCCTCCCGAGGGGCGGCAAGGAGGCTTGGCCTCTGGTCTGGGGGCACTTGGGAGGGTCTGCGGGGTGCTGTGGCCTCCACCTGGGGCCTCTCTTGGGGCTGGGCGCCCTCTGCCCTCCTCCGCCCACGCCCAGGTGGGACCCCAACCTAATTCCACCCCAGGCCAGCCCTAGCTGGGGGGCAGCCCGTGCAGCTGTCCTGGCTAGGGTCTTGTGAGGGGCCCAGGGTGCCCGGCCGGGCCCAGGTCGACGGCTCCCGCCCAGCCTGCCCCGAGAAGCCCAGGGTCACTCAGCTTCACTGAGGAGGCCCCTGCCCGTAGGTGGCAGGACTTACAGTGGCCAGGTCCAGGCTGCACACACAGGAATGCACCATGTATGCTCGGGGACAGTCCCCCAGGGCCCTCCGAGGGCTGTGGCCACAGCCACGGTGTCTGGCCACAGCCCCTGAGAGCAGATAAGCCACCTCCCAGAGCCCCGTCCGGCCCCCGCTGTGTGTCTCTAGGGGAAGGACACCCCTCTCTGGGCCTCTGAGCCCTGGCCTTCTGCAGCAGCAGACCCAAGGTTGTGCTGGGGACTCCATGGACTCGGCAGGAAGGCCAGGTCAGCGGGGCCTGGCTTTGGGGCTGAGCAGAGCGGAGGTGGGTGCGTCCACGTGGCCCTGGCTGGCCGTGGGCACAGTGCTCCTGGGGTCCCTGCTCCACTGGGCTTCAGGGGCCCAGGTGTGGCTCCCTAGGAAGTCCTGGTCCTGGGGGAGAGGTCCCGGGTATCGGCTTAGAGAATTCGGGCCTGGCTGGTGGGGAGGGCTGCTCTGTCCCCCTGTGCCGTGGGCACTCAGGCTCTCTGGGTCACTGCCTGAGGTCAGCTTGAGGGGACAGAGGAGAGCCACCTGCTGAAGGCTACCCCGGCCTCTTCCACTCCCTGGGGCCTCCAGAGGGGTGGGGTCGGAGGCGGGAGGCCAGGGCGGCAGGTCCTGTGGCCTGTCCCCCACCCCCGTCAGGTGGGTCTGATAGAGTCCCCACCCCCAGGGCTGGGGTCTCAGGGAGTCGTTGCAGAATGTGGTGCTCAGGAGCCCCGGGCAGGGTCCCTAGCCGCTGCGTCCCCTCACAGCACCCCCCTTGGGCCCAAGGAAGCCCGCTGGACGCAGAGGCGCTGGGCCCCAGATGCTGCTGTCCTGGGTTGATCCCAGCCCTGACCTGGTGACACTACCTCTCTGAGCCTCGGTGTCCCCTGTGCAGTGGGGCTCAGCACTGCAGACTGACTGGGAAGGACAGCCGGGCAGGGGGTGTGGGCACTTCAGGCTCAGCCACAGAGTGAGCTGGCACCGGCCTCGGGGACAGGTCTGGAAGTGGCTGATGGGCTGTGGTGTTGGGGACACTGCTGAGGTCCCACAGGGAAGGGCTGAACTCCACCGTGTGGCTCAGAGCTGTGATCCTGGACGAGTCACCCAGGCTCTGTGTGCCTGGACTCTTCCTGTTGGTGCCAGCGGCCCCGGGGCTGCGTGGCACAGGCCTGGGCTGAGCCCAGCAGGAGGGCGGGAGGTGCTGGCTCCCAGGTCCCCCCCACCGGGGGCTGTGCGGGCTGCCCTTTCTCTTTCCAGCCACACCCTCCTCTGGGGAGCTGATTTGGACCTCCCACTCCACGAGGGCCTCTCTGGGGACCGTCCCCAGGTCACTCTGGACTGGCCAGCTCCTCCATCCCTCCTGCCGGGCGGCTCAAAGGCAGCACCCAAGGCCTCCCGAAAGCCGGCTTTCCCGAGCCCTGCCTGGGGCAGGAAGGGCCGCTCAGTCCTCCTGGCCAGAACCGGGCCAGGTCCCTCCCTCCTCTGCAGCCCCTGTGAGCCCTGGGCTCTGTGGCACCCCCACTGCTCACCACCTCCCCTGGGAACGCCCCGGCCAGCCCCACCCTCTGTCCCTTCAGCTCCTGCCGTCACTTGTCACTTGCTTCTTCTGCCCCCACCCCCAGCCACCATCAGCTCCTGCCACACTGGCCTGCGGCTGCTGCTCAGGTCCAGTGAGCTCCTGCCCCGGGGCCTTTGCACAGGCTGCTTCCTCTTCCCCAGCTGTCACAGGACTCACTCCTGACCTCCTCCTGGTGTCTGCTCAAATGCCACCTCCCAACCCCACCCCCATCGCTCGTCTCCCTCCTGGATTCATCTTCCTCCAGGGTATTCGTCACCCGCCGTCTCCCTAGGCCCTCTGCAGGCCACTGTCATGCCCAGGAGAGGGGCTTCTGCCTGTTGCTCCCGGCTGGACACTCTGTGCCTGGAACACAGTAGCTGCTCACTAAATGTCCGTGGAGGCTGGGTGGGGCTCAGTGCAGAGTCTGCCTAGCGTGTGCGAGGCCCTGGGTTCCCTCTCCAGGGCCACCAAAAGCAGTAATGATCCTGACGAACACAGTAATGATGATGTTGCTGGCTGGACACATGAACCTGGAAGGGCAGACGCTGGCGCATCCCGGGTTGGGCAGCAGGCTGCATGTTAGGATCGCTGTCCAGGGCAGTGTCCTTTGGGTGCGTGTCCTGAGTTGGGGTTTGCAGGCAGCTGAGGGTCCTGGGTGTTCATAGTCAGATTCTTGGAGCTGGGCACTGTCAGGGGGTCGGGGACGGAGGGGA